TTTATGGGGGTAAGACGAGGTGTCTGAGGCACATAACCAACTAGACCATTGCCAGCAAGGCCGTTGATTTAATGCCGCCGATGGAAATTTGTGACTTTACTGTGCTATTTAAGCTTCGCTGATTGACGGACTGACCACCTGACTCACAGTGACGATAGTGACTATAGTAACGCGTGACGCGTGACGCGAGATACTGGACGCGTCTATATCGATCAGAACATTGCGGCTCCGTGCCAATAATTGTGCGTGCTTTTTCCGAAGCCCGGGTCGGACATCCTAACAGCTACGATGATTACGCGGATGCCAAAATAGTCGCATACATATCAAATGCAAGGCAGTCTATGCAGCTAACAAGGGATTCTTTCCATGAGCAGTATAATTGGTAAGAGATGTAAGGGAGGCGAAGGAGTATGCATGTCTTCTATGTCTTTGTTCTTATTCGACGAATCCCCATTTATTGTCTCGCTCAACCAAACCGTGTTACGTCTTCAGAGCTTGTTAACTTGCTATTTACTAGAGAAGCAAAAATTATCGCCGACTGTTCCCTATTTATCACTTGCGTAGGACAGCCTTATCAGGGAACCCCTATATACATATCGAAACGGCCAGCACACCTCCCGTATTCGTCACCAGTGCAACCGGAAGTCAGGGCAGCTCGCTGTGCTATGAGCTCCCCAAAATAGGCTGAAAATGCGCGCAACAACATGAGACCTTAATAGCTTGGCTGCGCAGGGCCTACGTGCTGCGGCTGTGCATCTTGTCCTCGGTGGCTGGGATGACGAGGATGCGTTACGCAAGGGGCTCGAGGGCTGCCACAAGCTCTACCTGTGCCTATACCCCAACTTCGAAGATCTCGAGCAGCTTCCGCGGCAGGCAGTATTCATTGCCCGTCTGGCCAAAGAGGCCGACGTTAGCCACGTAGTCGTATCTACCACATTCGGCTGCTTCTTAGTCGAGGAGGGCGCCTCTGCGCCCGTCCAAATTGGCCTTCTCCTCAAAAAATTCAGCCTCTGCAAGAAGCGTCTCGAGCAGACCGTCATCGATGACGGCCTCGCTCACTGGACTGTCCTATGTCCCGGCGTCTTCATGGCCAGTTTCCTTGAGCCTAGGATATAGTTCGGATTCGCTGAGACAAAAAAGGGGTCTTGGAGGGGTCTTGGACGAACTCCTTCACGGCCGAGTCGCTGCTCGGGCTAATCGACCACATCGATATCGCCCGGTTCGCGGCCGCGGCATTCCAGGATCCCACAACTTACCACGGCCAGAAACTAGGCATTGCAGGTGAAGGGCTTTTGGTTCAGGATGCGATGGACCAGCTTTCCGAGGCTATTGGTGACGGCAGGTCTGTCAAGGCCAATTTTATGACGGATGAAGAGATTGCTCAGGCGCAGGCCGAGGGTTCGCCGTTAGCGTTCTCCTCCGAGACGATTATACGGTATATGTCGGACCACACAAACCTAGACGAACTTCACCGTTTGCTTCCTAAGCTTACGACATTTAGAGAATTTCTTGAGCGTGAGAGTGGGTCCGTTAAGGAGACGTACCTTTCTTGAAAGCGAACTTTGACGATCGTATTTTTAAGGATAATAAAAGCTTGAGGGGTGATACCTTGAAGCAGGATCATCCTCGAGACCTTTAGGGAAACTTATAGTGAACTACACAGCTGTTTTCCACTTAAGAACACCGCCAACATTGAGCAGGAGTTGATGTGTTCGCCCTCCGAATCCCCCCTACGCCCAATTACAAGAATTTCACGCTTTTCACAACTTTACAATCGCTTCTATTGATGTGGATCTAGGCCTATGACAGTTCAGATAAAAATAGACACGGCGTGAAACATTGCGGGTGGGTTGTTAGTCCTAGTTATCTCTGTTGTCTACCTTTTGATCATATCAATATCTGGATATTTCGAAGAAAATGGGGAAAGAATGAGACCGCTTTCCCGGATCCCGATACTCTATCTGGGGTTGAAGTGTTTGGATGTTTAACATCAGCACTATTTGATCCCAAGGGGGTTGTAGGGCTGCATCAATTGACTCAGCTGCGAATCTCTCACCGACCAATCTCAACTTTCGAGCAGTCTAGGTGCTGGGTACCGAATTTAGATATATTCTTCAAATAACACAAAACAAACACTGGGGCTTGAATACGTGATTATGAGAGAAGGATGAGAATCCTTCCGATGATTATGATTGTGAAATGTCATGAAGTTGGTATGCATGCGCCGTAACGTTCAACGCGGAGCTGAAGTTCGAGATGTTTCAGCCCGAGCTTCACACTTCTACTGAAGAGAAGTCCTACGGTCGATAATTTCGGAAATCCGATGGTTATACTCATTTTTTTCAAGATATATACTTGATATATTTCCCCTTCACAATGCACTCAGGGGTTAGTAAAGCGACGTCACTCCTGTGATACTCTCCTAATCTCATCTTAACGGGCTTCTGGATAGTTGATCTATCCAACCCATTGGCAAAAATGCTCTGGTATCTTTTTCTGGTTAATTTTCTTGGAGTATCTGCAGTGAGGCTGCGTGGAGGTTTACTGTCGCAGGCGACATTAGCAAACTTAGCGCCATGCGCGAAAATATCTCGACTGGCCAACTTAGGTATTGCATCTAATAACTCCGGTACGTATACATCTGTCTTTTTTTCTTATAGTGGCGTATCGTACTGACACATAATTTCGTTCATAGCGACCATTCCGGCATCCTTAGCTCTTGACTGCCTTCGCTCAGTTCCGAATCGGCCTCAACCAGCACAACAGCTCATCCAGAGCCTCAAGGCCTTTGTGAACTGGCAGGCTACTCTTACCTGGCTCAAAGATCCTCCAGCCTCTTACATGCTTCCCCCAGTTGATGTTCAAGGAAGTCTAGACAATATCTCTTCCACGGTTGCGGCAGGTGGTTTTACCAACGAATATGACTTCCAGCTTGCGATAGTCAAAACAGTCACCGCAGCACATGATGGTCATTTCTCATACGTCCCGGACGTCTTTAAGGCATTCTCATTCCAGAATGATTTAGTTGCTGATCTGGTCTCTGTTTCATCCAATGGCACCACTCTGCCTAAACTTTATCACCTTTGTAAGTATAAGCCAGCACTTAGTGTTAAGCTGAACAGTATCCCTTTCTCATACATCATTATTATCTAGCCGCCTTTCAATCAAATAACGGGACTGCCCCAGTTGCGATCTCCCAGATAAATGGTCAGAATGCCACCAGTTTCTTGCTAGATATAGCCTCGCAATTCAGTAATGCCCAGGATATCGACGCACAGTGGAATTCCCAGTTCATAGGCTACACGAATCTAGCCAGTTCAGCCAATCCTTTGGCTGGAAGTGTGTTGTTCATAGCTCCGAGCGTAACGCTCACTTACGAGGATGGGAAAACTGAAACCCAAGAAACGAAGGCTCAACTGAACCCAAATGTAGACTTCTCCATGATCACCTCAGGGGATGCCTTCTACGACAAGTTCTGCAATCCGGACACAGCTTCAAATTCAACCGGAGTTCCAGCCGCTGTATCCCCACGATCAAAACCGAGCATGTATAAACGTGATACTGCTATGATAGACGGCTACCCAGTTCCTTTCGTTGAAGAGAGCACCATGGGTACCACTAAGGGGTTCTTCCTCAACGGAACGGGGTTCGACGACGTAGCTGTGTTGGCCCTCTCGGCATTCGAGGACAACGACGAGAACACGTATCTAACAAACTTCCAGAATACGATAGAGACATTTTTGAGCCAGAGTCGCGATTCTGGGAAGCAGCGGCTCGTCATCGACCTCACAGAGAACGGTGGCGGCTTCATCATGGCTGGCTTCGAGCTCTTTGCCCAGGTTCGATGATCCCAAAAGCGCTTGTCGCTTAGCTCAATAGGGACCTCGCTAACTTGATGGCAGCTCTTCCCCGGTGTAAATCCGTTCAACGCTAATAACATGCGTCTCTCGGAGAGTCTCTCAAACATTTCCCGTATACTTGCCACGCTTCCCCAGCAAGACCAAGTATCCGACGCACAAGCCTCGGCGTTATTAAGCAACTTATCGCCTACAGACCTGTTCAGACCTCAGGGGGACAAGTTTACCTCAGTCGATGAACTCTTGACACCTGTAACCCTCCAAGGCGACAATTTCACCGCATACATCGAGCAGCCCTTTGTCGCCGTCCCCAACTTCACCATGACCGGCACCGGGGCCCGCGCAAACCCGCCACCAGCCCTCTTCAAACCCGAGAACATCGTATTACTCACCGACGGCAACTGCGGTTCAACATGCACCATATTCTCATATCTCATGATCTTCCAAAAGGACATCAAAACCGTGACAGCGGGCGGGCGTCCGCAAAGCGGAATCATGCAATCGATCGGCGGCACCGAAGGCTCGCAAGTCCTCGACTTCCCGTCGATCTCGCAGACCGCCTCGCAAGCCATCCTCGCGGTCGCGGGCTCCCCGCAGCAGCAACAGCAGCTGCTCCAGGGAAGCGAGCTGGGGTTGCTGGCTACGGGGTACGCGATCCAGCGCGCGCTGACGCCGTCCGCGCCGGGCGGCGTCAACTTCAAGAACGCGTTCGCGCCGTCCGACGCGCAGACGCCGCTGCAGTTCCTGTACGAGCCGGCCAACTGCCGCTTCTTCTACACGGCGGACATGGTCACGTCGGCGGAGGCGGCGTGGAAGTACGCCGTCGACGCGACGTGGACGGATCCCGGCAGGTACTGCGTCGAGGGTAGCGTGGTCCCGGTGAATACGTCGAAGGCGGTTGATCCGGCGTTCGAGAAGCTGCCGGTTGCGGGGGCTGCTGGGAGTACCGGGACTAACGGGACTGGTGGGACGAATGGCACTGATGGGGCTAATGGGGATACTAGTGGAACGAGTGGAGATGATGGGGGTTCAGGGGGAGCAAATGCGACGAGCGGCAATGCTGATGACAAAAAGAATGCTGCTGAGGGCGTATTCGGACATTATAGTCTGCAGACTGCTGGGCTGCTGGCGGCTCTGTCGATCATGATGTTATACCTTTAAGAGACTTAGTGGATTGGTGTTTTTTTGGGAAATTTATCGCGACTAGATAAGGGGGCGGCTATCTTGACTTTGAGAAATTGAGGTAAGGAGTAGGAGAGGATGTCTAGGTAGATACGTATATCGCCATATACCTATATATAACCATTGCTTTTGTATAATTCTATCAGCTTAATTTAACGCTATCTGTGTATTCCAGTAGCATCACTTACCTTCGTGCGTAACTAATAAGAGTTTGCTTACATAACCAGCCCCTTTATTTGAGCGCATTCATAGACCATTGTAGACGAAGTTTTCGCTATGCAATACATTTACATGTTAACTTGATGATTTTACTATATTCATCACTAAAGCCTAGATATATCCTAATAGTAAAATACTGACCTGACTAGTAGACAATAACATAACCACTCGTTCACCCAGTACCTAATGTCGAACAATCCCCCGTTGTCCTTCCTTGACGCCGAGGGGTCAAAGTACAAAATAGACAAACCATCGAGATAACCCCGCAATGTATAACGGCGCCTAGGCTATGAAAATGACACCAAGTGTGGCTTTAATAGCCATGGGAAAAAGGAAACCGAGGAAGCGTTATCTTATAAATAGGCCTACAACCCTTATATACCATCGCCCTCCACATCCGGAGTCTCGGCGGCGACCTCTGCCTCGTCAACGGCTCCTTCCTCTCCGACGGGTTCTTCCGGTATTATTCCGTTCATCCGCTCCCAAACCTCGCGTCGTATTCGTTCGTCTTTGGCGATCCTCGCCCTCTCCACTTCCTCAAATCCGCCGCTCTTCTTCAGCTTCCCCTCCTCCACGAATTTGGTCAGCTCTTTCGTCAGCGGGTTCTCCTTTCGGCTTTCTAGCTCCTTCTGTCGCAGCTTCTCCGCGCGCTCGATAGCCTCTAGCCGATCCTCGTGGTTCGGCTGTAGCGCTCTAACCTCGCCCAGCACTCCCTCTTTCGCAGCACTAGGATCAGCGCTGTTGCCGAGGTTATGTAAGCCCTTAGAAAATTGCCTTCCTGTCGGTGCCGTGTCCTTCATCTGCTCCTTGGTGGCCTGCTCGACAAGCGCAAAGGTCTCCGAGGCCTTCTCAATGTCGTCTTGCAAGTCGATCATGAGGTCTTCCATTACTTTAAGCTCGTCACGACCTTGGCAGACTTCCTCTAACTCCTTCTCCCAGATCTTAGTCCAGACGGGTTTCTCTCGCTTCATGAACTCCTGAACCTTCTTGAGCTCCTTAGTCAAGACTTGGATGTCCTTGGATACGCCTTCGAGTTGACGAGGCAAGGGTCTCACGCCGCGATTAACGACGTCCTTGCGTAGGTCTTCAACAAGATCCTGGAGATCGTCCACCCTGGTGACGAGGCGGTCCGAGTCTGTATTCAGTTGCTTGCGGCCTTTGCTCACGTAAGCATAGCCCGAGTCACCTTGTACAGTAGGCACTGATGCTTTCGCTGCCGCAACCTTGACATTAGCTGCCTTGCCCCGCAACGACGACATAGAACTCTGGATCTCGGTCTGGAAGTTCGAGTACGTCTGTCGTAGGACAGCAAGATCACGGCGTAAGCTTTGCAATTCCCGAAGTTGGCTGGGATTGAGCTTGGCGCCAGCGCCAGCTCCACCGGTCTTGACTTCATCTATCATAGGCGGTGGTGCCGCAGCCATACGAGCCATTTCTTTAGCAGTCTCGAGTTGCCTATCGGACACTCTTTGTAGAGCTGAGCCTTGGTCGTTGACATTTTGCCTCACCTCGTCTACTGCCTTCTTGAGAGCTCCGATCCCTTCATCAAAATGCTTCTTGACCTCGTCCAGCGGCTCGACGTTCAGTGCAAGCACCGTACGATCTTTGATGTCGGAAAGATCCTCGAGTTCGTGCCGTACCCCGGATACGGGGTCTTGAATATATATCTCCGGCAGATCACTTCCATTCAAAGCGGTGTTCCAGGAGAACTTCTCGATAAAAGCGAGTTGCAGGCGTCCAATGGTCAAGTCGGTGTAGCCTTGAGGAAGCACAAATTTCTTAACTTTAGATTTGTATTGCAAGAACAACGTGAGCTCCTTGTCTAGGGGTGGCGATTGATCTTGCGCTGGTTGCTTCTGCTTCTCGGGGGGTGTTTGAGGTCGCGTTTTCGATTCTACAGGCGGATCTACCTCTATTGTCGGTTTCGACTTATCAGGCGACCCAGGAGGTGCCAATATTGGAAAGCCATCGTCCAAAGGTCCGGATATAGTAGCACTGGGTCTGTATTTCTCTTCTGGCGACCGAGCGGGCGGGCTATCTTGTCGAGGGGGTAGTAAATCGGGCTTGGGGCTCTCTTCGATTATCCTACTAGGCATCCTTACTGGCGAAGACGATTCGTATGCATTTTTGGACTGGCTGGAGGTATTGCGATTATGCCGCAGAGACTCCCGGACTTGGACTGCCCGCATTGATTCTCTTACTTCGCCACGACCTCGGTTTGGTATTGGAGTGTTTTGAGTAGGTAGCATGGGCACGCCGTTAGTTGGGGCTCCCAAATGCTTGGAAATCTGATAGGCGGAGTATCTTCGAGAGGCTCTTCTCTCCAAGTCCCCTCCTCTTTGTAGAGCAGCAAGCGCGCTCTGTTGTGACTTCGGCGGCGGAGGGGGCGGAGGGAAGGAGTCAATATCTAGATTGGCTGCTGGACCTGTAGGTATCGTAGAATCGTCTCCAGGATATGGCGCAAGCACGGGCATGCTCTGCATAGTATTGCTCGATAGAGAGGATTGCTCAGAGTTGAAGGACGCATTTGACTGATCTCGAGGAAGAACTCGTCGATTGGGGGATTGATTCACACTCGGAGGGCCTTCATTCTGTTGTGACGGCGCAGCATAACCGTTCTCGAGGCCCTCGTTCAGAAGTGTCGTGAGGCCGGTATTATTGCTTCCAGCAGTACTACTACTCATGGTGCGATTCGCAATCCCGGTGCTGGATTCGGGAGAGCTTGCACCATCTTTATCCCGAGTCTGCTTTTGCCTAAGTTTCTGCTGTTTTCGTTTTAGGCCGTGTAGAAGATGAATGATTATGTCTCGTATCCGTGGCAGATATTTCTCCAGACTTTCGGTGTTCGCTTCTTGGCTCAGCGTAGCCTCCAATATGTGTCTAAGGTTTTCGGGGACGTTTCCTAAATCTGACGTGTCGACGTTGATTGCAGTAAATGCGCGACAGGCCATATTAAACTCATAGCCTAGTCGAACATAGACATCGGATACTTGAGTATCGGTAGCTTGTCCACGCGACCACTGCGTTAATGTCTCAAGAAGTTGTTTCGTTGCGACGAGCAGATGTGTTACACTTTTTTCTATTTGCGAAAGTGGCATCGACGCGCCATTCGATTGCTGTGGGGATGACATATGGTCAACATCGTGTGTGTATCATAGTAGATATCGTAGAGTTTTGTATTTTAATCGTGCGAAGGAAGAAAGAAAACAGTGTGGGAGTTTTGAGAGGTGGGGGTGACGACAAAGGACAAGATAGAAATTTTACACAGTATCAAGAAACAACATCCATTCGGAGTATTTCTGCGCCTGTGGTTCTCAATCCACACTCACATTTCTCCTTGAATTACTTCCAGCCGATCTACTCGAGGCCGTGGACGAACGCGGCTGCATCGTTGCAGGCGACATCGATCGCGTAGGAATATTTGACGAGGCACCATCGCTAGGTCCTGGAGACCGTCGCTGTAACGACCGTTGGGACGGATTCGGAGCCTGCATCTCGACCTAATTTTTTGAACCTTTCTCTTTCTCCTTATCTTCCTATCTACCCTTTCTCCTCCTCTTTCTTCCCTATCAAGTTGATATTATTTCCTGAACTCCAACTGGATCTCGACGTTTCAAATAACTAGGCGCAGAAAAGTATCATTCGTACAGGACGCAATCGAATATCGGAAACCAAAGAATTATGTGACAACAAGGTGTATTGACAAGAGCTATGGTGGTTTGAGCTTGTGGATGCGGGTCAAAATCCGAGGTCGAGCCGTCGTCGATGATGACGGAACAGAACCGACGAGGACTTGCCCGCGTGAGGCGCGACGTCGAAAAGGATGAGAGAGCCCGACCAGCGCTAGGCCCATTCTGGTTAAGTCCACCCAGGGGCAAGGATCAAACACGGTGACGTTCGGGGGCGGGATAAAGTTGAATATCCACGGGTCTTTGGCTGATTAAGAATGGGGAGTAGGGGTAAAAGTTGTGGTCATAGCGTCCCGTCCTGTCCGTCCATCCGTCTTGCCGTCACAGTCGAGTCTAAAAATCTATGTACGTACCTTCCAAAGGTTCTCCTCGTTTCCGCTGTTGCCCTACATTCCTAGTATTGACACCAATAACGTCACTGAACGGACAAATGAAAAATCAATTGATACAAGACGGTTGTACATATTATTTCAGGAAAGATCGCTATAAAAACTAAGTTTCAAAAATTCCGCGTCAATATTCCAATGTTCTTTCGATGTTGTTCGATTTAAACTGTGCGATGACAGCATGTCTGAAACGCTGTTTGGTTAGTTGATTGTCAAGTGGAAGTTTCGTTTCACACACCGCCATCGTACCAAGTATACGTGCGTACATTGCAGTTGCACTACTGTATGTAAGTACTCGTTGGGTGGATTCTAACCAACGCGCACCTACCTACAAGACATAGACGTACATATTCAAATTACATATGACTCAACTTCCCAAGTTCAAATCCACTTGAATATCTCGTATCCATATCTACCTAGGTAGGTACCTACGGATGGCGATTCTTCATGCGGCTGAAGACTTGGACAGTCCAGCTAAGCTTTGTTCCTTGAAAAACGCGTGGCGGCGCATCTGGGCGGACCTAAATTAAGCAGCAGAGCAGCCCTAAATCTCCAGGGTTATCGCACCAACAACCCTGCTTTTGTGCCGTAACCAGGTAGATCGATCGCTTTCGGGATCGCCTTTCGCTTTTTAGGTCGCTCTCATTTACGAGCCGAACGCTCCCTCTATTTACGGTATTTACGGGAATAGTCGGTGCCTATTTCAACCTACCTATCAGCCCTATCATATATTGATCACAACCCTTTTACTACGCAAGATCCGACCGTAAGCAGCTAGTTGCACTCTTCGACACGTCAGCACCACCTGAAGCCTTGAGTAATGAGCCATGGTTCTATTGCGACGCTGATTAGATAAATAACGTACCCAGGGTTGATCTGTATGCAAGATGAATTATCGCTTGATAGGCAGATATGTATTCCTAGGAGTATATATCATGATCGAAGACCTTTGATTCCGGCGAAGACTCGTCATTCCAAGGCAGCTTAATTTATAAAACTAAAATACAACACGACAAATATCGATCACTTACTTTCCACTATTTTACACATAGGCGGGAAAATGTCATCTCCAAGAATTGCTATCATAGGGGCTGGTCCGGCCGGTTGTATGTTGGGGAGGATCTTGTCACTCTCTAATGTCCCCTTCACGATTTACGAAAGCGACGCCAGTCCCAACTATCGCTCCCAAGGAGGCACATTAGACTTACATCCCGGAACAGGCCTAGCAGCTATGAAGGAAGCTCAATTATGGGACGAATTCATGGAACATGCTCGCTTTGATGGCGATTACATGATAATGGCAGACAAAAATCTGAAGCCTTTCATACAGATAGGTCCCAGCAACAAGCTCAACGAGCGTCCTGAGATTGATCGCTTTCAGCTACGTAGGATCCTCACAGAGTCGCTCCCGGAAGGATCTATCAAGTGGGGGCATCGTTTGCAGCGGGTTGAGGAAGGTAATACTTTAATATTTGACCACGCAACAGAGTCTGGTTTCGATCTCATCATCGGATGCGAAGGGGGTTGGAGCAAGGTCCGAAGCTACATCTCATCAGCGGTGAAACCACAATACACTGGGGTTGGGTATCACCGTCTAACAATATTAGATGCGGCAACAACTGCTCCAGATCTCTACAAGGTCGTTAACCGTGGAAGCCTATTTGCCAGTTCAAATGGGCAGAGGATGGCAGTACAACAGATGGGTGATGGGAGCATCAACGTCTCCTGGACTGCGCGCCGCCCTGAAAATTGGACCCAGACTTGCGGATATAATCCTCATAATATCGACCAAGTTAAGAATGCAATCCTCAAGGAGATGGAGGATTGGTGTCCCCTTCTTCGTGGGGCGATCGAGAAGGCATGCGACGGTGTATGCGACCCGAAAAATCTTTATCAGCTGCCCGTCGGTTGGCATTGGGAGCACCGCCGCGGCGCAACGCTCATAGGGGATGCCGCGCATCTGATGACCCCGTTCGCCGGCGAAGGGGTGAATGTCGCGTTTGACGACGCGCGAAAGCTCGCCACTGCTATTATCAGAGCAGTGCAAGCAGGCGGCGAAGCAGACCAGCTGGACAAGAATATACAGGCATTTGAGGAGGAAATGTTCACGCGCATGGTAGTGTATCAACGACAGACAGATGATGTGACGAAACTCTGGTTCTTCAGCGAGGGTAATATGTGGGATGTGATTCCGAAAATAATGCTGGTTCACGCCAAAGCCAGAGTACCAACAGTCTTGTATCCTTTGGCATGGGGGCTCATAAATTCTTACTGGTTCATCAAGGCTAGACTCTCCGGTTAACCCGCGCACTCATCCGTTCGCATTATTTTGGGAGTTTGGTGTTATCGAAGGCGTGTTGTCAATCGGCGTCAGATCCCCCGGCACAGCGCAATCCCTTCTCAAGTAATTAATGTTATTCTTCACTCCTGAATTACCTTCTTATATATCAGTTGTAACTACATTTTAGGTGCTCTTCCAAAAAAAGATTATCGTGTTACCCAGGTATTTCACTGCAGCTCCCTCTTGTGTTTCTTGTTTCAAGTCCTAAGATTGGCGAAGTCCACCGCTAGAGGCAAGACATTAGGCCTTACCTGATTGATTCAAAATTCAATGTGACTTTGATCGGACGGGAACTCCCATTCATACGGCGCACTTCCACGCCTCGGCAGCGTGGGGACAACGTGCAGGGGGGCTTGGGTACTGCAGAATCTGCGGCTTGCACGGCTGCAGATCTCTTCATTCTTCCCGTATCACTTGCAGATGAGCGCAAACGGGGCTCGCTTCTATTATTGCGAATGCTTAGGTGAGAATAGTAGAGAGTTGGCTAGACCGAGTACCCGACATGAGGCCCGAAGACATACATTGAATGATGTTCACCCAACTACCTCCCTACTCCCGCCCTGCCGTTGTGCGATCTTTCAAGCAAGGCGCGGAGTCTGCATCCATGTCCTTTCCCTTCATTTTGCGAGGTTTGGCCCCAACATAGTAGTCCTTGGGTTGCAATGGGCCATCATCAGAGTTGCAACGCGCCTCTGAGCCTCATGAGTCTCTGACCATACCACCCCCCATCAGCCTATAGATTGATGATAATTGGGAAGAATTTGGTGCTTTGTTTCATTCCCACGAGGCGCAGTTGGCCTCTGCGGCGAACGAGATAGTTCTTATGAGAAGACATCGTTCATGTTCTATATGAGGAAGGCCAGTAGTAAATCAATTATCACGGAGTTAGGTAACGTGAAAGGTTGCCCGAATCTCCGGTTCAGTCAACGCTGTCGATCTTACAAGGGTGACTACCTACCTACCTAGGTACCTACCTAGGTAGGTAGGTATTTGAATGTGCTTTCTTCGCAAGCCTAACTTCTTTCCAGTTACACAAATGACGTTCCAAGATACATAGCCAGATAAGCTATACTCCAAATATTGAGTACCCAACGAGCCAACGACTATGAAGAATAACGTAATGCACCTTGGGCGGTTACACTTGCACAAATACTCAACTTGGAGCAAGCCAAGAGGGTATCGGGCTCCTTCTCGCCTAACATTGGACGAAACAGGCTATCTATATGCCTATGTAGCCATCGATGAGGCTCACGATGTCAGCATTGGGCTATACGGAACACTAGCCAAGTTCACTAGGTCTAATAATGGCGCTTGTGTCACAGACCGAAGTCTTACATGCTTCTTACAGCCTTAAGATCCCTTAATTGGACCTGAGTCCTCATCAAATCGGGAGGCTATGCGAAACAGCCGTGACTAAGTGGTTGAATCGGGAAGATTTTTTCGTCGTGAGGCTGCGTTGTTTGTGAATAACGCCCGTGGAACTAACACCCATAGGACCAGGGGTAATAGTCCTCACCAAAAGCCTGTGGCTTCGGTACGCTATATGGCTCATTTTTTCCCTGGCGTGACTTGGAAGGCTTAGTACCAAGATGATGAGAGCTGATGACTACCATCAATACCCATTGTATGTCAGGGATATACCTTTGTTTTCCGACTAAAGCGAGGCGATAACTAGACTAATCGGAGTATTTTTGGTAGTGTAACATTTCAGCGTGCCTGCCTACTATGCAGTTATGGCAATGTATAGTCTTTTTAAAGGCGAGTCCCGAGATCCCAAGGCTTGACGACCAAAAAGTCGACCTGGTGAAGCATGAGAGTCGACGGGCCTCGAAAAGGGCCTTAGATGCAACGTTGAAGCGGGAGGGCCTCAAAGGTACCGCCAACTAATATGTGGGTAAATGTCATTCTTCAATTCTTTAGTAGCCGGATTAAACTTGTGTTATCTGGATGTTTGGTTTCATGAATTAACAACTTAGTGCTCTACAAAATGTTTATTGGCTTATAACTTTGACCTATTGTTAAGCTTACCGTAGGTACAGAGGCAGTGAGGTACTAGCATATATTCCGTTAAAGGGGCTATAGCAATGCCAAAATTTAAGCTCCAAGTAGATGGTTAACGATGTCTATATCTGTAAACCTAGGGCTGCTAAAGAAGTAGCTACCGCGTACCCGCATGCGCGGATGTATTTACTAGCTTTGGGAAGTATGCACCTAGTGGGTGGACCTGCTGTCTTTATTCAACCCCTTATGCGGCGAAATTATTCTATCTTAAGCTGCGCAGTGCCTGCAAATCTTATGTCTTAATGTAGTGCAATTATATGAATGCCATATTTGAAATTCTTATTTTATTTCTTTTCTAAAGATACCTCTGTAACGTCTGTCCAGGGATATTTCAACATAGGGATTCAAACAGTTATCTACATGTGCAAACGGGAAATACTTGGCAAAGACCTGCAGGAAACAATTAACCGTTAATTTATGGTTTATTTATTTAAACCATAAATATATGGTTTATTTTAATTTAACGTTTACTTATCCGAGCGTTTATAAAATTAAACGATTGCTTGCATTCTATTGTTAAATATTTCTAAACGTTCGAGTTTCAACGACCGTTTCTAATTGGGAATAGCTTCAATAGGTGTGTGTAACTGTCCTAGTATTCTAGCTATCCTGGTCTATCCTGGTCTACCTCCTGATCTAGGTGTGTGTAGCCATTTTGATACTTTGAACCTTTGATCCTAAGGTGTGTGTAACCATTCCAATCGTTCTAGTTTAACTGTTTTGATCTTATTGTGTTACTTGCCTTCAAGTTCAATATATAAGACTTTGCTCCCACCCACCTACTTACACGCCTTCTTCTTCTTCTTCAAAACTTCAAGTGCTCCAAGGTACAGTCTTTGAAGAAGTCTTCAAAAACCTACCTACCTACCTACCTAGGACCAACCTGGATCGTCTCCAGGAATTCCAGGACCTCCAGGACTCTTATTTGCCAGCGGTGCTTACCTAGGTACGTATTGATGAGGCTCAACAGGTAGGTATCGCAATTGCAACGCTTATAGGTAGGTCTGTATTCCTGTAGTTGTAGATATCGTAGAAGGCCTGCTTGGCCTGAATAGATTCAACCTGACCTGACCTGACCTGACCTGTTTACCTGTTGGTCCCAACGTTACACCTACTCCCGTTACTCCCGTTAGCTCCCGTGGCCTTCCCGTCTAGGTACATCAAGAGCTTCAAATAAACGATTGAATATTTAAACGTTTTAGGTTTCTTCAAATATTAAAACGCATATAAACGTTTATATAAAAATATGGTTACTCAGTGGTTTGTTTTTTTCAAACGTTTATTTTTTTCAAACCATAAATTAACTGTTAATTAACGGTTAATTGTTCCCTGCGGATCTTTGGACGGTACGGGCGTCAAGCGAGTTACGTTATCTAACGCCATAAAATGCGCCTCTACATCACAGTATAGGCACGGTTTTTCTTGCAGCTAATTCTGAACGACCTGAGACATTATACGCATATTATAGCACCTAGTATTTGCTCTAGACTACGTAAATGGCACAGTGTGAATCGCAATACATGCGTAGCTCAGGAAAGTGAATCATTGATGTATATAATACAGGTAAGTAGCACCAAGTCAGACCACATTTGGCCCCTCCAAACCAATCCAATCACTTCCCGCTCTTCAGTTCGACGCTCGGGCCACCCACACCCTTCAAAAAAGAAAAAGAGCTCTCTGGCTCTCAGGTCCCACTTACTCCCACTTCATCCTTGGCCCACACCTGACCGAAAAAAGCACACCAAGCCCACCAAGCTTAAGAAGAAGACAGCCAACCTTGAATGTGTTAGTGTGTCGAAGTACCAAGGTATCCACTGAATGTAGAGAAACGCCCATGTAACTCGCCAACCTCGATTTAGACCTTAGACCCTTTGGACCTTAAACACCACAACCTCCACTTTCCCATATCAACCTCGTCCCCCAAGCTTTACGCAACTAACCCACGGCTCTCTAAGATCAGAGCAGACAGGAAAGAAGCAACGTCCTCTGCGACGAGGTCATCTTCTTTTATAGACCGAGCCGGGGGTTGCTGAAGGGAGACAGATACAGAGACAGAGACGGACAGATCAGAAAATAGCAAACCCAAGCAGCGAAAGTCGACCAATAAACCCGAGGTGAGACACGACGACTTTCTTTACAGTACTTTTGACCCAGCACCTCAGCAGCACTCGGTACACGGCGAGGTACCCATACTCCCCATACTCAGCAGTTAGCACTCAGCACCCAGCATCAAGTACTAAGCACACACATACACACCTAGCACAACCCGGCACATCTACATACATAATTATTTTAGGTAGCATGGGCATCCGTGGCCAGCTGCTGGCCCGCACTGCCCTGCCCTCTTTTTTTTCTTGTCGAGGCCGTGTGTTCGATGTTCGCCCAGAACATAACAGAACAGAACAGGAACACAGACAGGATTGATTGATTTTTGAGAAGAGCGAACGAGCCAGCAACTTTTTTTTTGACCACTCTTTTCCCCGGTTACTTCCAGTCACTCCCAATCTACCTGTGGTCGACCTTGTCAACAAAGCAACTTTTTTTCCCATCCCTCTTCTTCTTCGATACTCTAGAACATTTTCCCTCTTTGTTTTATTCGCAATTCACACTCTCTCGTGTGGCAGCAAGCTGCCAATAATTCTTCGCCATTTCGACTAAAACCCCCCATTGCGCTCTTTCTAATTATCGTCTTGTTTCTAATGCGCTGACGTTCAGCCTTCCTATCCCACAGTCACACTGCTGCTTGGCAGAAGGTCAGGACATCGACCAGACGCAGCACCCGCCATTACACCGAATTCGACATCGTTCCAAAATCAAGCCAGCAAAGCTTGTCTCCTGCACGGCAACCAGAGCCCCATTGGATTCCCCTCGACGACCGAGACTTCTTTAGTAAGTTATCCATCCTTTTCACGATCATAAGCTTTCTGTCATACGTCGGGCTCAGATTCGCGTCACCTCCACTTCGTTCCCTCAGATCTGCGCTCGCTGTCCCCGAACCGCAACCTTCCATTGAAAACCTCATCGTCCCATCTCCACCAAATCTGTCAATTATAACATATAACACTTCCGTGATCCTTGTAACCCTCTTGTTTAACTTGGGCTTACCGGTCTTTTTTTCGTTGCAGGATCGTTATCCCTGGCGGTGTCGAGTCGACTTCGAGACGTTCTTATACTTGACTGATTTTAACCTGTCACCTGAGAATGGTGCAGCAGAAGAAGGGTTCGGGCGAGTCGACGAACGGAATTAATAAGAGAGAATATCCCACAATGTCTTTCCAAAAGAAGGACATCCCGGATGCCAGAGTCATGGGGGTCAACTCTGGTAAGGGTGATATTAAGCAGAATGGTAAGTCTTGTGTTTTTCAGAAAGATGTTTGTGCAAAGGGTTAATAAGTGTCAAGGCTCGACAGCAAGCCCTCAGAACAACTTCCGAACTGATAGTGCTATCTCCACTACTCCTCGCCCAGGTCGTGAGCGAGTCTTGCAACCATGGGTGGGACCAAGCAGCTCAGATGGACTCGATATGAGTTTAGAGAAGTCGTCTGGAAGCGGTGGCGCTTGGGATCAGTTCGCCGCGAATGAGCGTCAGTTTGGAATCAAGAGCACCTATGACGAGAATATTTACACGACCGCAATTGATAAGAGCCATCCGCAATATAAGGAACGTGTGGCTGCAGCGGAAAAGAAGGCGAGAGAGATTGAACGAAGCGCAGCAGCCACTGCTCATGTTGCTGAAGAGAGAGTCATGGATTACACTGGCGGCGATGATGCGGGTGGTGATGAAGAGGACAAGTAAGTTTTCCCATACAGTTATATTATGTCTTGCCAGACCATAATTAACCCCAAAATAGGTACAGTGGTGTTAAGCGACATGATTTCCCCCCCTTACCTAACAGCCGGGAGAACAAGTATACCCCACCGGCAAGACGAGCGCCAGCTGCAGCGTCGAGTGTAAAGGGCGCGCCCGTTGACCCTGCCATCATATCGTCGCAGCTCAAGCAGAAGAACCAGCCTATTATTCCGAAGCAGGACGATGGCAAATCTCGCACGGTCCCTAAAACAGAAGCACCCGTAGCATCTCCTGCCGGCAAACCGGCTGAGACTAAGCCTGATGGAAAAGTTGAGCCACAGGCGAAGCCGGCGGAAGGTAAAGTGGCGAACCAACCCACAGCTTCGTTGAAGCCATCTGCGGCTACCAGCCGAACTATCTCGCCTCAGGCCAAGGATGGTCAAGGTGTTCCTCCTAGTGCTACTTCCACCGTCGAACGGGACGTGCTCAAGGAATTCAAGACGTTCGCCAACCAGCAGCGGTTGAACGCCGAGAAAGCCCGCAGCACTAAGGCTAAAGCCGACAAGGAAGTGAAGTTAATCGAACTGAAGAAGTTTGCTGATAGCTTCAAGCTACCGACTCCAGTTCCCATGGACTTGATTTCAATCATTGCTAAAGACCCTGCAAAACAGAGAGAGATTCAAGAGAAGGCGAAGCGTGACGCTGCCGAAGTCGCCAAGAGAAAGGCCGAAGAAGCCGCTGCTAAGGAGAAGAAGGGTGCCGCCACTAAAGAAGCTCAAGTCACTACGACATCACAGGCGCCTCCTGAGAACAGGACTAGCCGTCCAACTTCTAACGCTCCGAGCGCAGCAAACGCACCGGCTCCCTCTCGTCACCAGGGTAATCGTTCGAGTTATGCGCCTTCTTATCCTTACCAAGGCAACCGTGGAGGTCCGCAGCATATACAACCGGGTGGCCGCCAAGGAAACCTGGGCGGGCGTCTCCGAGCGTTAGATGCGCAAAAGGCGCAAGGCCAGGACGGTCGATTACCTCCAACCGGCCCTGCCAACACAACTGATCCCTCTTTCAACCGTCGCATGGGCGGTGTATCGGGTCATTTGAGTGGGAAACTGAATCCCAACAGTCACGAGTTTCGACCCAGTGTGTTTGCACCTACATTCAGTCCTAATGGCCATCCTAGCGCAGGCTCAAGTCCGCGCTCAGCTGTGAATCATGCGACTGAAATACAGTCTGCTAATTCGACTACCACGCATGCAATTCTCATTGTCGTGACTAAGAAGAAGAAGGCGGTTGACAAGAAGAAGTGTAACATTTTGGCTTTTGTGAAGACGATTCAACCGCCCGAGAACAAGAATTGGAATGAGAATGATGGACTCCGACCATCTTACGACACCCCACCTACCTGGCGTTCCGCAACTGATGACGAGAAGCCTGATTCTACTATGCGACTGTCTTACGATGAATACTTTGAGAGACAACCGTTTAACGCACAGCCTACTCCTAACCCTCCCCACCTGCTTCCTCAGCTGGCTCATCAACACCAGCTGCCCCTTCACATGCAACATGGTGCTCACCCTTCTGCACCGCGACACTCACCTCACGTACCTCCCGTTCAAGTTCATGGACAGCATAATCCTGTCCATGCTCCATTCAACCCGGACGACCATAGAATGATGCATTCTAACTCGTCTCAGTCTTATTCATCCCCAAGAATGGGTCAAGTACCGATGGTCTATCCACCTAACATGAATTCGGCTCAGATGCCATACAACCAGCACATGATGCCTGCATTTATGGGCCCCGGAGGAGCACCGCCGATGAACCAGTTCAACCGCAGCTTCTCAAACACCCCTCAGTATGCGCCGCCGCAACAGGGAGGAATGGGTGCGCCTATGATGATGCAGCCGCAATTCATGACGCCGCAGCCCATGGTCGCTGCTCCTCCGCAAATGCCGTACCCCGCTGCCGGCCACTTACAGTTCATGCCTCCCGGTACCACCCCGCCGCAACCGATGCCTGGAACCAATGGCTATCCAAGTCCGGGAAGGCCAGCAGCAACTATGATGGCGCACCAAGGATCACAGCAGGGACAGCCGATCGGATATGGCATGAGCCCCGGCATGCAATATCAGCAGCCGGTGACTTTCGTGCCACAACAGCAGGGCCAGAGTAAGTGAGAAGGCTGATATCCTGACCAGAACAAAAAGCTAACGCATCAGATAAAGTGAATAACATGCGAGGATATAACAATCCCGGCCCTCAACAACACTTTGGAACGAGCCCGCAACAAGTCCACCAGTACGGACCGCCGCACCGAAACGGAAGTAACAACTTCAAGAATTACCAGAATCACAACCAACACCAAGGTCCGCAAGGTGGGCACGCGATTCCAGCGGGGCCTCAAGGTCGATCTTCGGACGGCCCTGACGAAGCTAAGTGAGCGAAAGCTCTTGACACCGATCTCGAAGAACTTAATCAGCGCCGCGCTCTAGCGCACATTTAGTTTCTTCATTCAACTTAGCATCGATATCAACAGACCATGCTCACCGATTCTATCGTCACCTTTGCATGGAAATCTCGCGGTATCGAAATAGCGAACCCGGCCGGATGTACGCCTCTTCGAAAACCTTGCAGCTAGGAGAAGAGCTGCTGGGAACATTTTGTTACAAACACCGGCCGCCCGAGAGTCGCAACGTATATCCTGCCAGATCTTAAAACCGATATGCACAAGCCAATCATCTTCTATGGCGTGGCCATTAGTTACCTTGGCCTCCTAGGATATGCCTCTCAAATGTTTATTCGCCAAAGCAGTGATTAGCTTGGGAAGTCGCTGGCCCGGATGAGGGAATGTTGGAGCAGTCGGCGATGGAAGTCGAGGTGAAGCAACTTGAGCTTCTGTAGGATGAGGAGGAAGAGGACTCGAATAGCTTTATCGGGCTAGGAGCTCCAGTTGTTCGGGATGGTTGTGTTTACATCAGTGTCGCAGTCCGCCATACTTAAGATGCAAATCTAAGGACTAGCGTCAGCCAAGACCGAGGACAGGATGTTTGTGAGATGGTTGGCCGAAGCAGCGATCTCACAGCCGAAGCTGTCATTGATACAGTCCTCAGGTATGTGAACAAGGCAGCCGTATCCTAGTATTGATCTCGGAGATACCAATAAAAATAGTGTTTTACACTGATGGATCCTGTCCCGTCATGAAGACACATGCAGTGAGACGAGTTCAGTTATACCTACCTAGATATATAATTCGATGCCCAGTCACCTAGGTACCTAGGTAGCTACGAGGGCAGGGTGCATGTGAAGGAACCCAACTCCATATCCAGTCTTGATAGGTAGTTACTGTAGCAGGTGTTTTAGTTAAAACAGCCCTATAACTTGTATGGGAGGCAGCTTCAGTGTTGTTACCTCGGGTACTAGTTGATGACGCCAAATTGAATGATAGATACTTATTAAGATAGTAAGTTGACCCGAGCGAAGTTCCCCTACTTGCCTTCCCTTCATTCAGCAATAGCCCTATCGCATGAATAATAACAAATCAATGCTAGACACTCCGCCTTAACTTGGTGCCATTTGGATTTGCCCGAATTATTTACCGGACTCAGAACTTCCAATTGGGTAGCCGAAGGAAGAGGCGAAGGACGGATATCTGCGCACTTGAAACCTCCAGCCTTGGAAGTACGTCCTGACGAAGGCCTTGTAGTGCTAGGCCAAGAACGACCGCTATACATTAATATTGAATAGCTTTGCAACGATATATTGTATACCTATACATTGTTTACATATAGCAGCTCAGCAAGTGTCTGACTATTCGTTTATTATACGTACAATAGACTGTCACCGTTACTAGCTGAAACTTTTCTACTACCACTTGCTAGTCTAGAGTTACTTTTAAGTCGTTCTATTTTCCCCTTTTCCTTAGCTCCGTGTAAACTAGGTACCAATCCACATTGTTCGTCCAGCTGACCCTTCTGTAGGGCTCATTATATTATAGCAGGCAGCGTTTTTAAATTTCAATATTGTGGCTACGAAGGTATTTGAGGAAGGCCATGTAAAGCCAAGATATCAATTCAACTGAGAGCACATATAGCAGAAGGATATTGTGATGCCTTATTTAAACCAGCGGAAATTGCTGTAACGTAGGATCTACTCAAGTAAACGATTTCTACCTCGCGCTTCCGTTTGTAGGACACTTTTCGTGACGAAATGACAGTGTTGATAAATAAAGAATTGAAACAGACGAGGCGGCGAGGGCGATGAGGCTGACTGACTTACACCTGCCCCAAGTAGACATTTCGACCGCCGTCATCCCGGACGACCAAGAAAAATAACGTTCAACCACTATATATGAGGGAACGGAATGGAGATGACGCTTCATGCGAACCGGGCAAGGTTGGGGGGTGGATACCCGCTTCTGGATGTTTCAGTGTTTCGAGCTCCCAGCCAATGAGCTGTCTCCGTAGGCTCCCTCAATTGTCCGTTTGAGATCTTGTGCAAGGATAAGGAGAAAAGGGGGGTTCACGTTTAGACGTTTCAAGATCGGCCTACGTATGTAAGTCTTGGAGGGAAAAGCACCGAAATGCATCCTAAATTTTTCGCTGGCTTTACTTTTACGTCCATCGTCGATTCTTAGGTTCGGGGATAATCCGTGTGTATCGTCATGGATGTTCGAATCTACCTGGTAGTGAACAGGATATCCATTCATGTACATTGTTTATTTGGATAGGCGACTAGGGTAAGTATTAAGTAGGCAGAGTAGGTAAGTAATAGAATTTTTACGTAGGTAAAAATTCCCATGTCGAGAGGTGGCAGGAGGTTGATTTTTTTTCTCTCTTTTTTTTCCTGTACGCAATGATGCGATCGCTGCAGATCTGCAGTGTATACCGAGCATTGAGAGCCGTCTCGGCCAATAGGAGCATTTCTCCCCTGATTTTTGCTAACGTCTACATAGCACTCGGGCTTCGTGGCCCGTGCCCATGCTGCTCGCATGCGTGCAACCGAACAATGAAAAATTCGGACATGGCTGGGACCTCCAATCCTGGGGATCTTCAAGGTTTAGATGATAGTCGGCTTTATTACGGGAATCTTATTGAGGGAAAATTTGGGGTGGGACGGAACTGAACGGACTGAGTACGGCGTAACTGACGATGGCCGACTAATAATCTCACGATATATTGATCGTGATCAATCATGTTCAATCATATGCCGGCGCTTTGTTATTCTATGTATGTATTCACTTCCAAGTCGAACGCACTTCATAATTCCCGTTGTCCGATTCATAGTTACGTAGTACACGATTTATCCACATTAATGTTTAGATGAATGTCGCTGAATTTAGCTTAAGGAGGGTTGATATTCTATCTGATTCCATATCAAGTTAGCATAGGAAAAAAAAAGGAGGGATCCAATGTATTCGGGATTGGAAGTTGACGTGATAGAACGAATTGACTGGTACGCAGGCTTAGAACTCGTAAACTTCAAATTCAAGGTTGAGATTTGGATCCCTCAACCCCTTATCAGGCATTGACATCTGTGGCTGGGTATGGAGGTAGGCAGGGTAGGCTACTACTATGGTCCGATGGGTAAGAATTAGCACACTGTCAGGTATTGGGGAGTTATATGGGGACAACCGGCCTTACCAATTTGGTGGTAGCGTGTCCTAGTGCACCCCACGGGTACTTTCAAGCCCCGATTCAGAAAATTATTACTTAGTCAATACTTTGAATCGTTGCTTAAAAATAATTGCTGATTATAAAGGCCATGCTAAATAACATCTATAGTTGTTTTTTTATTAAAATAGCTTTAGTTTTGTAGGTAGTTAACGTTGATGCTGCAATTCTTCGAATGTATCAATAGTCCCACCAAGATCTGCTGCTAAACTCTAACAAGTAAGGAGGGTTTAAGAATCAGGGGTCCCCAGCTAAAAAATTGACCTGACAGTGTGCTAATTCTTACCCATCGGACCATAGTAAGTGGATGTATGTACGTAGTACCTACCTTAACCTAGACCTGTCTAACCCTAGACCTGCTGGACCTGCCAGATTTCCAAGTTAGTGGAAAGCAGGTGCGATGGAAAAGGGTAGAGATCCCCTGAAACCCGCTTTCTCGACGGGGTCGATCGCCGTTTGCACTGCGACCAATGAATGGCTGCTCTTGTTTAAACGTTTCACCAATTCAGGTACCCGATGTGACTGATTGGCTCAGATGAGCTTAACTTAGTTTCCCCCACCACCCACCTTCAGCTTTACCGCCGCACCGTACCGGCAACGACCGCGCATACCTTTCGTTTCTTGGCTCTCAATCGTTACTTTTCCCTTTCCTATCACATCCCAACCCAACCCATTATTCTCCTTACCCCGTCCTGCCGGAACCCATATCATATGTATACAATTCATATGCGTACGTTGACGTGTGTGAATGGAGGAAAATAAAAGAAGCTTGTTTTTGGTGCATTGTTTTAGAAAGTCTCCTTTCGTCTGTACCCTGCCGGCTGACTGCTTGTCTACTGGCCACCCATCCGACGGCCACCTACTTTATCTCTTTCAGGAATGCGCAGATCCGCCTTGCGAAGATCGATGCATGACCACTCCCCGCTCCACTTCAGCGCCTGGCCAGCATCCTCCGCGGTTCTGTGCTTAGTGCATAGTAGCGTGTGGCGTGTGGTTCACACCTTCTTACCAGCGGGCTTCTATCCCTGCTTTTAAGTGCCGTCTGCTACTAGTATAGTATGTCGTTTTGCTCCATATTAAGTACATACCTACATACAGCAGGTCCTGTATGTGGCTGTTGATGCCCGGCATCTATACTTGATGGGGACGGGTGGGTATTTGTGGAATCTGTGGAATCTGTGGGCATTGGCGGGGCTACCAATCCATGTCCCGAATTCATACTCACGATCCAGGGGCTGTCCCGACCAAGACAAGATGTCAGCCGAATGACAGAGGGCGGGACCTCGCCGGTTAGGCGAAAGCCAGCCATCATGGAGAGTGCAGGGTCTGTCTTGGTCCATCTTGTTAGTTCTAGATGTGACGTTGACTTTTTTGCCGCGCAACCGCCGCTCTCTCCTATCTGGAATATAAAGATGTTGCTTGTCACCCCGTCACTACTGACTCCCGCCCTCCTCACTTCATCTCATCTCATCTGCCTCACCGGAGCAACACAAGATCTTTCTCGTCTCCCCTACCACTCTCCTTAGAACAGGCCTTTTTTTATTCTTGCTGGTCATTTGATCAGGAAATCCCAGGCGGTTTCCTATTTACCCTACTGTGCACTTGTGCATCACTTCATTGTCACCACGGTCATTTAGCACCTATCAACACTCCATACCAACATCATCCATTGTTGCCCAACTTGCCTCCCTCATTCGTAAACAAAGTCCCCGTGGCAAAACACCCCAGACCGATCCGTCTTTGTTTAAGTCTCTCCTTTCAGCAATTGAAAGTCTTGAAACTGCCTTTATTAGGCCATAGATCCCTTGGCAATCTCACCGTGCCGCGTTTTCGAACAATTTTCACTCTTCCAGATCGCGGATTCTGAGACGTGCCTTTTCGGTACAACACATTCATTCTTTTTCTTCGAGAACCGAGATTTTTGATTGATTTGATATCATCGATATCACCCACGAATATTCAAGATGCAGATCCGATCTTTCCTCGTGGCCGCCCTAGCTGCTGGTACAGCTATGGCTCACATGAACATGAAGGACCCTCCCCCTCTAGCCTACAAGGGCAACCCGAACGCCAAGGAGCCTAACATCGACTACTCCATCACCTCTCCCATCACCCAGGCTCAGTACCCTTGCAAGGGCTACCTCAAGCTCCTCGGCACTCCCGAGGGCGCATCCGTGAAGACCTACGCTCCCGGTGGCCAGTACACCATGAGCGTCGAAGGAGGCGCTTATCACGATGGAGGAAGTTGTCAGTTATCCCTCTCATACGACAAGGGTGCCTCGTTCACCGTCATCAAGTCGTTCATCGGCAACTGCCCTACCAGCTCGGGTGGCACCTTCAACTTCGACATGCCTTCCGATGCTCCTGAGGGTGACAACGTCGTCTTTGCCTGGACTTGGGTCAACCACACCGGTAACCGAGAATACTACATGTCGTGCGCTGTCGTTACCATCAAGGCCGGTGCCTCAAAGCGTGGTGATGTTCCCGCGATTGAAGCGAAGCGCGCTACTACTGCTTTCGCCAGCCGTCCCAAGGTCTTCGAGGCGAACTTGGGCGGTCAGTATTGCACTAAGGAAGGCGTCGACACTGTCTACCCCGAGCCTGGTCCGGATGTCGAGAACACTTCTACCAGCCCTGGCCCTGCCATTCTCTGTTCTACTGGCGCCGATGCTCCCGAGGGTTCAACGGGTGGATCCGATTCGGGATCTGGCTCTAGCGCAGGTGCAAGCTCTGCCGCCACATCTGCAGCCACGTCTGCTGCAGCCACGTCCGCTGCTGCTACATCCGCCGCTGCTACCTCGGCCGCAGCTTCTTCCGCCGCTGGTGGTGGTATCCAGGTCTCAGCTTCAATGTACGTAACACCTTCCTCACAGTTAACTCCAGCTTCTTCGGCTAGTTTAGCTAGTCCAAGTTCACTTGAAGTTCTGACTGTCATCCCGATCACCGGACTAACATCTTCCAGTACTGGTGGCGTTTTCGTAACTGTAGCACCATCTTCAACCGGAGCTGCTGCTTCTTCAGCCGCCGCCCCGACCACCTTCTCCACGGCGACCATTGCCTCGCAAAGTGCTGGAGCTGGTACCGGAGCAGCATCCTCGGCTGCCGCTGGCGGAAGCTCTGGTTCGGCTACCACAAGCGCCCAGGCTCCTACGGGCACAGGTGGTGTGACCGGAACTCAATCCGGCGCTTGCACTGACGAGGGCGCATGGGCTTGCGCACCAGATGGTTCATCGTTCCAACGATGCGCATCCGGACAATGGAGTGCTGCTATGCCTATGGCCCAGGGCACCAAGTGCAATCCCGGTATTAGCAACACCCTTAGCATGCGACGACGAGACCGCGTTCGCCGTTCGGGCACCGGTCTCAGCCGCGTGGCATTTTAGAAGTCACCGGTTGATTAGACGACAAGCAATGAATTTTGAGGTTCTAGTACATATACAACCTTGTCGGAGGCCGAGGGGACGGGATATCCTTCAGCCGAACTTTCTGCATTGTACATATTCGCACTTTTTCACTTCTCTTTTCACTTCTTCCATTCCCTTTTAGGGACATTCTTTTTTCTTCGGTAGGGACTTGCACACAAGACCTCGGAAAAAGGGGGCGGTGTTCCGGATGTCTGACAGGAACAGGGCTAGCATTTGGCATTACCCCAAACATCGGGGAGACGAGACGAACACGTAGCACATCATGAGATGTTGCCTGACATAGATCAATAAGATCTTCATGACCAGACTTTTTGGGTTATTCTTGATGTGATGTGATTTGAATGTTAACCTGATTTTATAATTGATGTCGATAAAAGTAGTGTTGCTTGAGAGACTACCGTTGTATCTGATATCTGCCGGCATGTAATTCAACACCCCACGTCTTCCACATTACGACGTTTGCCTTCTATTTTCAAATGGTTATAAAGATATCATAGTTACATTTTCCATCTGCTACCCTTAGAGAATTCTGTCAGTCTAAAGATAAGCTGCCAGCCCCAAACCTACCTATCCGCGCCTCTCCAGTCGAGATACTTGTTCTATTAGGACGAAAGTTCAATTCCTCCGAGCATCCAATTTAAGCTCAGCTATATGGCGATCAGAGCCGCACCAACATCCCAGATCTACTAATGTTGCGATGCTGACGCCACCGCGGCCCGAGATAAGCTTATTTGGACGGCGATGCTACTACGTGATCAGCTCCTCCGGGTTATCCCCATACTACCTAGTCTTACTGGGATAAAGACAAGAGCTGTTATGCTAAATCCAGTTCTAAAGCACACGTAGATTTTGAATGATGCTTGGGGGATACTGTACGATAAGAATCAGCACCGAAAGCAAATTCAGGGGTGTCAGTGGCGCGAAGACAAATTTCCTCACTTTCGTCTACAGTGCTTCGGAAAAGCTAATGTGGATATAAATGGGGAGTTAAATAGCATCTAACCTACGCAACGAGACTAGGGAAGGATGTGTTGGGACCCCATATTATAACGAGTTATAGTGATAGGCTTCATGTAGCATTATGTCACAATTTGAATCCCATCGGACTTTAACTCTTTTTCCTAGTCATCATAGCAAGGTCCTTTAATTAACCATAAATATAACCCTATTGAGCCTTCTCAAATTATCCCGATCCTAATATCTAATCGTTTATCATGGACTCTTCAACGAGTGTAGGTTACCTACACCAGCCCCTTAAAAGTTTACACACTCCAAGAATCTTATGTTTATGTTCAAGTCAATAAGCTTGTATGATCACGTCTATTGTATCGATATGAGTACATATATGTAGTAAGTTATAAGAAGAAATAGCTGAAGAAGTGTTGGCCTGGTGTTATTTCATGAGTTATTACATGTTCGATTATTAGTCTGGTACTGAATAAAGTATTAGGCAAGTGTCCTTGTCGTATATTAACCACAGTAGATGACGACCATGTTAACGTCCGGTGGACGTGCATACTATGTAGGGTATGTCCATCAGCGCGCACACATTAGTGCATAGAATGTCCAGAGTACCTAACCACCATAAATCTGATGATGTGATGGGGCCAAGATATCCTCCAAACACTGAGTAGGCCCCCTTTCTCGCGATTAATAGCCACCTCGAACCCTTGCGATAAGGTTCTTTGTGGACACCACATACTAAACGTAGGCGTAGTAGTAGCCTGTTCCTCATCGAAGAACATTGGCTCATGGATGATCTGCGTCGAAATATCCTCTCGAGCTTGTTGCAGCCACGGCTATCGCATCATGAATCTTGATTCTGTTGGCCGGCATCGCATGACCGGCATTGGTTGGGAAGTCGAGCGTATGGCCATACAGGATTTCCAGAGGACATTTCCCTATCACCGCCGATACCGTCGCATCGAATTCATAAAACAGTCTCGGCAAAAATTATTTCCATATCGCTTTATCCACCAATCAATGGAAGTATCATCTGAGAGTCAACTTGAGATAGAGTATAAATCTTTCTGCTTGCCCATCCGTCCTTGAGTGGATACCTTCACGGGCCAGGCGGGTGTTGATGTCGATGGGGCATGTTGGACCTGGTAGCGGATTTTGTCACGAGGCGGAACTAAGAAGCTAGGGAAGAACGACGTTGTTGCGCGAAGAGCTCTAACTAACCCCTTCCAGGGAACGCGGTATACATACATAAACCTTCCTTTGTCTATAGCTAAAGGCTAGCTGCCAACAGGGCGGCCTCGTACAGGCCAACTCCCGATACCTCTGGCTACCAGCTCTCATGGAGGAAGCTTCTGACAGATTTCGTGCGTTGTCGTTCAGACTGGCACCACCAGAAGTGCCATATATGCCACTATTGGTCGAGGATCAAGCGTAAGCTTCATCGTTTAGATATTTAAGGTAGGGATTGTGCTCCTATATGGTACCGAAGGCTCCCATCGGGCCATGATTCGGTTGTGAATCCGGGACCCTCCCCGTAGTAATGGGGACATGATGTTCATCTCATTGCAAACTCCACAAAGTCGCGGGGAACCTCGACGTGGGGCGTCGAGTCCAGCGTCTAAGGTAACTCGTATGTTAAGTTGCTCATTAACGAACAACATGAAATAAAGTGTTGGTTTGTGGATGAGGTATGGTCCATGTTGCAGTGAAGAAGGAGGTGTAGGCATTGAGAAACTCCACAGACACAGGTTGTTAAAGTCAGTTTCCATCCATTCTAGTTTATTTCCCCAAGGCAAGAAGATTCGCCGTCAACGGATCCAATTTCCGAGGAATTAAGGTGTCGGTACGTTAAGAGTACCTGGATGTGCCTTTGTTTCTAGTCTTATCTTAGAATATGTTTACCGTTTCGTAGCCTTGGCTGAATCGACAGCGTTTAGCTTCGAGTCATCCATACTCGCATAAACTATATGCAACAATTCTACCTCCTCGCGGCGTATGTTTAGACAAGAAGATCCGTGTTCTGTGCCTGTTATGTTTAGCGAACGCAAGGGTTGCCTGTAAGTTCAATGGCATACCTCATTTGGTTTAATGGGCACACCGCTTTACTTTAATATTTGTTAGGCGAGTTGGACAAGAATTTAACAGATTGGCATTGTCAATCGCTTCTCGCTCGTTTTATAGCGCACGTGAAAGAAACGCGAAGTCAGGGGCGACAAGCTTAGGCTCTCTAACGATAGAGGCCAATTATCCGCACTAGCGTCAATTTCGTTAGCACCATCCGGCTGAGACATCTTAGAAGAAAATTAACATTGAAGGGGAACGGTCTAGGTCAGTGTTGAAAAAAAAGACAAGATTCACAAGAGTGAAAAGGGGGGGTGACCACTGGGACCAGAATGGTGCCGACCGTACGAGGTGGACCGTACTTACCTGGAATATGTAGTGAGCCGATGATGATGATATCTGATAATGATGGTCCTTTATAGAAGCATTGGCTTGGGATATGAGAGGCCTGTTGGTTCATACTAACTTAAAGATGGGTGTCCCCAACAGCCATGCAAGATAGGCTGCCACAATTCTCTGAACCATTGTTAACTACAAGCAGCCGAGAATGATAACCGTAGAGGGATTTTCGAGTGTTAGTCGGTAGGCCTTTAGCAGGATAAGATATACTAAGGGTGGAATTTGACGGTTAGAGAAGAGTTCCTATGAACAAGTCCGTGAGGAAAGAATTGTAGTGCTGTTATTTGGAATAGAAAATAGACGAAATGAATATTGGGTAGTTTGGTGGGAGGTTAAATGTAGTGTGTAGGTCGAGAACTGGGACAGAGGCCCGGTTTAAATATTATTTCCCATATGATTCTTTATTCTTGCGTTGATTGAACGTGTATCTTCTGGTGTCACACGGCGATAGGTGCCACGCCTCCAACATATATAGAATATGAGATTATTAGGTTAAGATAATTAGTTTATTAATTATTAGGAATAATTATTAAGTTATTACATATATGTAGGATTAATTAATAAAATGTTTATAAGCGTTTAAAGTGTTAAAGTTTAAATTTTAAGTAAAGTAAATTAAATTTAAATAATTAAAATAATTTTTTTTCGAAAAAAAAAAAAGGATTAAAAACTTAAAACCTTTAAAAAATTATTATATAAATTAAATTTATATTTTAAATTTATTCCTTTTATTATAAATAATTTTTTTATTAATTTATAAATTTTTTCCCGGATTATTATACGTGTTTATTTAAAATAATATTTATTTATATTTTAATTAAATTAAATTATATTTCCGTAATTATCCGGAAAAATATTTATTCCGGATATTATTAAAGCTTTTATAAAAAATACTTTATAAATTTTAACGATATATTTTTTTTTTTTTTTATTAATAAACGAAAGATTTTTTAAATTTATAAAAACATTTTTTTAACGTTATTATTTAAACCGATTAATTAAGTTAAAATTATTATTTTTATTTATTTAAAAAATTATACGAGAATTAATAAAGATTTTTTCCTTTAAAAAATTCTTTAATAATATATTTTTTAATTTAAAAAGTAAATTATTTTTTAATTTTTTTTTTTTATTTTAATATTTTAACGACGTTTTAATTTAAAATTATTATTTTTAAAAAACGTATTTTATATTATTAATTAACTAGGTTTTTATATTTAATTATATTATATAAAAAAACGACGTTAAATACGGAATAAATTTTTTATTAAATTTAATATATAATTTAATATATTTATTTTTATAAATTTAAAATTAAGTTTAAAATTTAATTTTTGAAAAAATAATTTTTTAATTTTTATTTTTAATAATAATAATGTTATTATTTTATATAATTTTTAAGATTTTAATATAATTATATACGATAACGAAATTATTTATTAAATAAAAAATTTTATTATTAATTTTTTTATTTAAATATTCGAATTATATTAAAAAATATATAATGTTTTTAATATAATTAAAACTTTCGATATTTTTATCGAAGTTATATATTTA